CATTGGAATGGACAACTGTGAAAAATTTGTCAAACATTGTTTGAAAAAGCTTCTATAAATTCAAGGAAGTTGTAAAAAGTAGAAGTTTTTTTTGAAGATTCAAATAACATAAGCCAATTTAAAAGACCCCATCAAAACGTCCTTTTTCTTTTCAGTGATTTATCAACTCAATTCAATGATATATCAAATCATTGAATGATGTTTTGACCATTTTTAATTCAAAACATCCTTTTTCTTTTTAGAGACCATTGAATGAATAATGAAAAAAAAATCTTTTCAGTGTCCAATCACTTCATTTCTGAACTTTTCAGTGATATATCACCTCAATTCAGTGATATATCAAACTCTTTCATAATAATTAATCATACCATATCATAATAATTCAAAACATCTTTTTTTTTGTTTTTAGTGATATATCACCTCATTTTTTTAACTTGTTGACCATATTTAATAATTGATCAGACCCTATCGTAATAATTTCACTATGACTTTTCATTGATATATCACCTCAAAATGACTTTTCAATGATACTTGAAAGAAAATTGTCCTTTTTCCCTTCATTGATATATTACCTAATTTATGAACTTTTCAGTGCTTATTTAATAATTGATCAGACTCTACCATAGTAATTTCACCATGACTTTATAGTGATATAAAAAATTAAAAATGTCCTTTTTCTTTCCAGTGATATATCACCTCATTTATGAACTTGTTGACCATATTTAATAATTCATCATACCCTATCATAATTATTTCACCATAACTTTCAGTGCTATATAGTCGTGCCTACATGAGAGACATAATTTCATTGTTCAAGTTCCTATTTTGAAGATTTCCATGGTAACAATTTCAGCAACAATTTATAGTGAGGGAAAACTTTCACCATCTCTTTCGAGCGAGATATTTGAATTTTCGACTTGATGAATATTCGAACAAGGCTGGAGCTAATGAAGATTCAACATTTTGTTTATATAGTTCAAGTTTCCAACCTCTTTGGTTCCACAACATTCATCAATGGGATATCTGAACAATGATGTTGTAATTTGAACAATGATTGACACATGCATTACCAATTCAGTGAGTACCGTTAACTTATTTGTCGAACACAAGCAAGCTGCAACTCCTTACACATGAAAAACAAAATCTCTAGACGAATTTGAAATATAGATTTGAACTTCAAGAACTTGAATTATTTATATATAGAAGGAAACAAGGGAAATGATGGAGGATTGAAGAACTTAACTTAAAATCTGACGAGTCAACAGACTATGAAGACTGAGATGTATGGGTAGCCACTTAATGCTGCTACTGTATTGCAATGTAATGTAGGAGTTAGTGATTCTAATGAAATGTAGGAGTTGATGCTTCTAATGTAATGTAATGTATGAGTTAATGTTTCAAATGTAAATTTAGTAGTTTGTATCGTAAAAATTATCAATATGATCGTTGGAACTCGTCACTCCCACACGACAAGTTCCTTGTGCCTGTTACCCAATTACTAGTTTTTTAAACCAATAGGAACTCATCATGCCGACAAGACGAGATGAAAAAAATCTCTAAATTAAAAAAATATTATTAGAATTCGTCATGAAGTTCCAAAAATATAATAAAATATTGGACCTGATGTTTGTGTCCATTAAAATATATTTTTCGGTGACGAGTTTCCCAAACACTATAGAAAATACCACTGTTCCATAAATAAAGTGTTTTTGTCGTATTGTGCTAAATAAAAAACCCGTAGACTGTATTGAGTCAATTTTACCTTCAAAGAGGTAATAAAAAACATTGTGAAAAAACATGCAATGCAAAAGTTGATACGAAGTCTGTTACAATTCCATGGGTTAAAAACAGTTTAGAGTGAACAAAAATAAGGCAAAATGAAGAAGAAAATGCAATTTTGCCAATGTGGAGAGATGTGATATATCGCTTTGAACAATTGGTGTGAGGGTCCCATGTTAGCTCCAAATTGCTACGAAGATTGCGGATTATTCATGCATGCATGCTTGGCCGCCACATCAATCTTCAATATTTGCCACTTGCTCATCTCTTTGGGTATACACACACACACATTCATCTTGTACACATCTATTGCTTCACTCCTCGTACCATCTTTATAAGAAATTATCCAATTTTATTTACTATATCCAAAGATAGGCGTAGGAGTGATTTTATAAATTTTAAAGGAGAAAACATATTATTAATAAAAATTAAAACAATACTTAAAATGTATAAGAATTTGAAAATTTTATTAAAAAAATATATTTTATTAAAGATAATGTGAATATACATTTATGTACAGGGACAAATCTATTTACATGTTGAGTGAGGATATCACTCTTAAATTTTTTAGTATAATGATATTTTAGTTTAAATATTATACTCCGATCAACTCTTGCTTTATGGTCTTTCCTCAAATGGGATTTTAAATAAAGGGAGAAAGTTTTATTCCATATTTTTTTCTACTTCTACAAAATAAAATTCAAATACTTTGACAAAACAAAGTTCCTCATTTTTGCATTCACCAATGACCATTTTCTTAGCTTTGACTGAAACCTGAAATTGTCTGGATTTTTTTATATTATAGTTAAATTAATTATAAATCTATAGATTTTTATATACAAATTTATATATTTAAACACGTTTAAATTTATAAATTTGATAATATTATTAATAATAATATAAAAAATAATTGAAAACTCTTCACCAAAAAAAGAAGAAGAAGAAGAAGAAGAAGAACTTCACCAAAAAAAAAAAATTGAAAACTCTAATTCATTTTATATTTTATTTATTATTGAGGTATCATTTAACGTTGTTTTTCTAAAAATGTTTTTAGAGTCAAAAACACCTTTTGAGTCCAAAGCAATACAAAACACATACACTTTGAGTGGGAATGTGTTTAAAAAAATACTCTTCAATTTAGATGTAAGAATTAAAAGTTTGAATTTGAAAAATGATTTTGGAATCAAAATCACAGATTTCATTTTCATTTTCTATATTATGATGCGTTCATTTCATAATTTATGAACTTATAATTTTTTATGTAGACATATTTATATATTAGTAAATTATTTGTGAGTTTGAAAATTTTATCTCATCATATTAATTTTCTTATAAAAATTATTTTAAATTACCGTTTCGTTATAAAATTGTTATTTTTAATAAATAGTAATAACTGAAGTTGCTTTATTTCATATTTTATAATATTAAAAATATTTAAATATCATTTTTAACTAAAATATAATACTTTTATTTATTTTTTAAATTTATTTTCAAAAATAATATTAAAAATTTTAATTTTAAATTAAACAATATAAAGCATTTTTAAAATTACTTCTTAAAAATAATGCTATATTAATCTAAATCTTACAAAGATGAAAGCCTAAAATCTTACGGGGGCAAAAAGCCTGTAACGCGTGCACGAGGTCAAGGGTTCAAGGCAAAGCATCACTTACGGGATGAAAGAAAAATGTGCACGCGTACTGCAACGATAGGCCTTTTATTTATGAAATTGAAAAAGATCAATTGAATAACAAGAAATGAAAAAGATAATTGAACTACGGTTATAAAGTTTGGGGGGGGGGTGGGGTGGGGTGTGGGAATCAGAGGTATCTATACTTTTGGGAAAAAAAAAGAGTTAATGTGACTTTTGTATTATTTTTCTTTCAATGTGATGTGTTCTTTTGATCAATGTTTTTTCATCGTTAACCATTATGGTGTTAGTATAACAGTTCACAGTACTAATATGACAATCCATCGATCATGTTTAAGTTACCAATTTAGTTCATCTGTCATATCATCTGCTACATTATCAATCACCGTGAAATGTTACGTCAATATCGCAGACAGTCAAATCAGTAAAATAAAATGTTACATTAGTACCGTAATGGTCAATGACGAAAAACTTTATATAAAGGCCACATTAGATTTATTTTTTTTGAGTTGGAGGACTACTTTGAGAAAAAATAATATGAGGACCATACTAGTTTTCTTTAAAAGTATAGGGTTTAGAGTTTTTCTACTTTTTAATTGAAAATTTTAGATTCAATAATAATATTATTAGAATTCTTTTTTTTAACTTGTTAATACAACACTTTAATATAAAAAATAACTTTATTACAATATAATAGGAAAAGATGATGTTGCAAAATCAAATTCCAACCCATTATTATTTAATATAAATCTAGTCACTATCTATTATTATTTATTAGTATGATTTATACAATTTATAAATAGTTCAACATATATATAATAAAACTTAATATATTAAAAAGAAATTGACAAAATAACAGTGAGTTAGATCTCAAAGTACGTTGTAATGAACATGTATTTAATAAAAATATTTGATGATGTTAATAATTGTTTTTAAATTTTTAAATTCAGAAAATGAAGTATTAAATCTCAAAAGATAATGATTTTTTCCCAAATGTACAAAAGGAAGAGTATTTTAACCTGAAAAAAATACATATGTTCTCATGGACCCTGTGGTCTGTCGTCCCCTTGGTGTGCGTGTGTGTGTTTTTCAATGAAGTGAAATAAACGTTTCAAATTAAGGTGACAAGCTATTTAACTCCATCTTTTTACTAGTACTGTCGAAACTTGATTGGATCGCTCGATTCAAATTAAATTAATCAAATAAAAAATAGATTAATCAGAGGATCTCATCCTTTTTTAAATAGTCCGATATAATTATAAAATGGTATATATTTAAAATTATTCTTAACTATTGATAATGTATACACAATCTACAGATATAACTACTTAAACTTAATAACTTTAAGGGAGAATAACGCTCTTTTTAATCTTACGACTCAATTGAAGTCATATTATTAGATTTCATTTAAAATCGTTTGAAAACTGAAAACAGTAAAATCAAAGGAAAAACCGCATAAACCAATTAAAAATTGCATTTTCAATTAAAAATTAAGCAAACAACAATGCTAAACCGAGACTCGAGACAGTGGCTGGTGCATTATTTATTACCAAGAGAATGAGAAGCTATGAGCAAAAAGGGCGTGGACTGCCTTCTTTAAACAGAGCTAGGCTAAGTACATTACATATACAATCTTCTCCCCACCCCCCAAATATCTTATTTACCTCTATTTTTTAACTCAATATCTCGTAATAAGATTTTTAATCTCTTCTTTCCCTCATCGGTTTTCTCTAAAAGATGCATCATTTAAAGGGTGTTAACCCCCTCCTAATCTCTCTTGATCAGTTTCCCTACACCTACTACTACCTTTCTACATTGTTTACTCATGTCGGAGTTGGAAAAAAGGATAATCTCCCTTACCTTCACCATTAATTCGCAGGTTGCAAATTCCGGGCAAGCCTGAAGCATATCAGTTTGAATCAGCAAGGGGTGAATGCCTCGGGGAAGAAGAGGAAGATGAAGATGCCTCGGGATCAGAACTCCTCCATGGGCTGTTACACCATTATATTGGATCACCGAATATAGAATCTATTAAGTCATCCGCACTGGTGGAATCATTTGTGCTGTCAGTACAGCAAAACCTTCATCAGAGTTGCTGCTAAAAAGAGAAGAACTATCACTTGACGATGAGTCCTCTAAAATCCTCTGCAGATGATTGTATTTTGAATAAAAGGATCCAATGCTCCCATAAGCATCTCGATGAATCGAGCTGGGGTAGAATTCATCGAGACCAGAATGTGTTGAAGAACTTGACTTCAGTGGATTCTTCGAATTGACTGTGGACGGAATGGCCTTGCTTTTGTTCCTCAACAATCTTGGGGCCCTCGGTGAGCATCTGTAAGATAAGTTCTTAAACCACGATGCAATGACAGCGTATAAATTATAAAACCGAACTGAGGAACTGAAATTCTTTACCTTGCATAAAGAAGTATATATGCTCCTTTAGTTGGGACTCTTTCGAGTTCTGTAGGAGTTACCTGTCAAATTATCACCAACCCAAAGAAAAATGAGAAAATGTTTTGAAACTGAATTCCTTGTGCTCCAGGACAAGCATTTTAGACCTACCAAATGTTGCATCAGACAAAAAGAAAAAAAAAACATAGGCTAATGCCTCTAAATTACACATCAAAAAAGGAAGCCATGTACAATATTTTCTAACTTTTCACTAGCTTAAAAACCAAAGATGTGAACTATCAGAGTAATAAAGTTTAATTCAATCCAGAACCAAAAAGATGAATACAATGCCATCCTCCACTTATTTCCAAGATATAAAGTATTTTCGTTTAAGTGATTGTAAAGGGAAGCATTTAAAAGAATTGACCATAGATATTAACATGGAAAAAAACAGCTAAATTATATGGCAAAAATCCAAAAACTTTTAAATTAAGTAAAGGGAGCACAAGCGGAACATGATTCTACAAATATTAAGTGTAGTTAACAGAAATAAAATGTAGATGAAAACATAGACTGAGGGAAGTAGCATGCACTATGCAGTAAACAAATGAAATGGCTTAAGGTATGTAGATGGTAGTTGCAGAGAACATACCGTGCTGTCATCAATCTTAAACCACTTGTTTTGTGCATTTTTAACATAGCACAAGTAGTGACCCGAAAATGATGCATTCATAATATCCAAATGGACCACTACACCATAGAGCTTGTATATGGGTGATTTATCACTTGTCCCACTCATATATGGTGCCAAGTTCAAGATCTCAGGGAATCGAATTGCTTTGTTAAGTTTCCCGAATTTTCCAGACTGCAACAAAATACACACTTGAGCTGTACGAATCTGCAAACAACAAAGAGCAAAACAGCATTCTTTATTGAAAGATGTACCTGAAATCTCTTCAAAGCAATTGTAAGAGCATTTGGAGCCTCTAATATTGTCAACTTCATTTTGGCCTTCTCATAAGATTTGCATCTGAACAAAACAAGAACAGACAAATGAGGAAACCTCTAAAATCGATGCCTTCTACCAGTAGAGAATTTAGTTGAGGACTACAGATGTTTGTAGTAGCATAATACAGTCACCAATGACAACTTACACAAAAACTCAACAAAAAGGAAATTTTCAATAAAATTGATCAGAATAATTCTATGCCACTTATCAATCTTTGATGAAACGCAACATTTTTTTACAAGCAGTTATAGTTTCATAGTTCAGTTATTTGCTTAATTCTCAGCATATAGATCTAACAGAAGCATAAAGGATAGAATTCACACTTCAACTGTCAATGATATTTTGGGTACAACGATAGGAAAACTATCAAGGAGCTATCTTTGCATGATCACATTACACAGCAGAGAAAAATAATCTAATATGCACATAAACACTCGTACCAAAAATTTAAGGAAAATCTGTTCGTAAGAAGCACCAAAATAAAGCCTACAGCTTCTTTGAAGTATAGCATTTATACAAACAAAAACCAAATTTCAAACAACTTAAAAATTGAAACCAATCGGAAAAAATATTGTAATGCTTTTTAGACTATCCTCGTACCTTAATTCTTCAAAAATTAAATTGTCAAATTTTAATCAAGGACAAACTACGCCATTCATCACTTGAACTTTACTCTCTCCTTTTTCACTCACTGTAATTTTAATTTTTCTAATTTACTCACTGAACTTTTTAATTGCTCCTGTTTTGGTCACTACAAATTATTTTATAATTATTATTCTATGAATGACATTTTTATATATTAATAAATATAAAAATAACTTAAAATAAATAATAAAATAATATTTTATTATTATCAAATTTTAAATGAGTTAAAATAATCATCATCCCTTCTCGTCCCCGTCAACCACAATCTAGGTTTAATTTTATATTTTAAATTATTTTTATATTAAATAATAATAAAAAATATCATGTCATATCAAAATAATAATAAAATAATTCAGAGTGACCAAAACAAGAGCAATTTGAAAGTTCAGTTAGTAAATTGAAGAAACTGAAAGTACAATGAGTGAAATAGGAGAGTAAAATTCAGTGATGAATGGTGTAGTTTACCCTTTAATCAAACAAAATTTTGGCCGAAGGACTATTTCCATAAAAGTTCATCTTCAAAACTCTTTGCATGATATTGATAGTGTCTTAAGTTACTTTTGAAAAAAAAAATGTAAAAAAAACAACCTGCTACATTGGTACTTATTTTCTCCATCCAATATCTCTGTCCTGGTAAACCGCCGAAGTGCCTCTTCCAAGGTTCTTATGTCTCCTTCAATTTCAACTGTAAGGTCCATCATTCTTTCATGGCGTTCAGACTTGCCTTCGCACTTAATGCACTTTATCTATAGAATATTCAAAACAAAACTCACACAGATATGACCTCTAGTGCATGATAGAAAGAAGAGAACTGCAGCCAAAATATAGATCTCAGATATTACCTTTGACAGAAGATAGCCTCCAAATGTTAGACAAATTAAAGTCGATTCTTCTTCTAAACAACTTGATGAAACTACCCCAGCTTCTTTAAGACAAACAGATTGCATAGCATCAATAGCATACCTGCCAAATTGTAAATTCATCAAACGACTGGTTCAACATAAAAATTTCTCATGAAGTAAACATTATTAAAATGTTAAACATTAAACATTGCTAATTATATCTCACCTTAAAAATTCATGTGCATCTTCTTCTTTCCCATTAGAAAGTTGACTACCAATGTTTTGTAGTTGGAATAGTATTCCTATGGGGGACAGTAGAGATCTCCCATCTTTAGCCCTCAAAATTAGATTTTCAAATTCACACATGAAACACCATTCTTTCTTTGCACCTAAGAAAGAAATTTATACCTAGTCATCCAACATTTTACATCAAAACACAAAAATGTAGTACTTACAGCTCAGAAACATTAAAGGGACGTACATGTTTTGGAATGGAGTTCATGAAGAAAGTAAGCAGTCAGAGGAGCAGTGAAAGTCAAGCATTGGAGGACAGCATTGGCATAACAACTGTACAAAGTCACATTAGCCACAGAAAATAAAATAAAATAGTAAAATATACACATCCAAGTTCCAACACAACAAAAATGATGAAAGCTCAAAATTTAAAAATATGTGCGCAAGGAATGTTCAATAGAAGAAGCACAAGGCAGGAACATGATCAAGCAATATTGTTCCCTGATGGGTGAAGATGGGTATTTCTGTTGGACTTGTCTAACCCAAACCATACTTGAAGTCTACCCATTTTACTTATGGAAAATTTTCTGCAGTTCTCAACGTTAAATTTGAAAAAGATACCAGCTATTTAATGGTTAGAAAGATGGGTATTTCTGTTAGACTAGATTTTATGGGGTACTTTTTTAATTGATTTTTTTTAACCTCATGGGTGAAGATGATTTTCGGTAATATTGCTTGCATTTTAGTTTGTATTTGTTTTTCTTGGTTTTCATGCCTTAACTAAAAATACTCTCACTCTTATGGATTTATAACCTTTCAGAATGGTGATTTTAGGATAGGGCTGTTATGAGGCTGCATTTGTGGTGGTTCTGTTGGAAAATTAAATGCACGGTAGTGTTGATGGATTTAGCCAATAATATAAAACCAAAAAAACACAGCATATTTTTTCCATAAATATTCATCATAGTAAAAAGAAAAAGAAACAATCTTATATTACCTATTTCCACAGTTTATAAGACCGCGAGGTTGCAGTTCCACCTTATTCCAACTATAAAGTTTCACAAATGATTCATACGAAAAAAATTCCTGCACAGGGAAAAGGCTAATATGTCAAAAGCTTGTTAGGGCTAAAATAGTAACTTTAAGCTTATCACTAAAGTTCCACCAACCTCATTACAAGCTCCAAGTTGACAGAGTTTTGGCAATTTAGATCCTCTGAATTGATCAACAACTCTCAACACGGAGGTTTTCAATCCATTTTTACAATTAGAAGAACTTGAAACCTGAGGTAATTTAGCAACATTTGCGAGAACATCATTAGTTTTCCCAGATTTCACACTGGAAACAACATGCACTCTGGCATTGGATGAATAAGCATCAGATGACTTTAATGCATGAGAAGCATTTCTAGGTCCATTAATGAAAGCAGTAGAGCTTGACTTTTCAAAACACGAAGATGATAAATCACTGACTAGTGGAACATCTATACTGATAGCTTCTTTTGGTTTTGCGGCATGCAAAATATTGTTAGACCAACACTCAACCTGATAAGCCCATCCAGAATTTGAAGACTTGGAGCTTCTGACATTCAAAGAATCTAAACCAACATTTTCTGAAAAAGTTACTCCAGAAAGCTTGGCATGCCCTGAAGTATTAGCACCCTGAGGAGCATCATCCAATTTAGCATCTTTCACGTTGGAGCTGTATGGATGCGAGGAAGCAGCCTTTCCAGACAAAGTAAACAAAAAATGTGAGGATGACCCAGAATCAAGTGAGGCACCTTTACCGCCTTTTTTATGATAAGAGTTAAAAGACTCATTGCCAGCAACATTTGTAGATGGAACTGATTCCAGAGTACTGTCCCAGAAACCAGAAGACAATCTAGAACCCTTCATAATTGATCCCTCACACATATCATTGCCACCTGATCCAGAAGAACTAGTCGCTCTGCACTGTCTCTCTCCACTTTGATCAGACCTAGTCTGATTTAATTTATTTATTTTCAAAATTTTATCTACAGAATCAACCAGCCTAACAAATTTTGGGGACGATGGATTGGTTTGATCCAAATTGTTGACAACAGATGAAGTCCAACAGGTGTCAAGATTGCCATCAGCAGAAAAAATACTATCTAATTTATCAGGCTCATTTGAACTTATGCTCTCACACACAGAAACATCATCAGATGATTCACTACTAGCAGCAGAAGAAGAGAATCCAGAAAATGAAGCACTGGAAGATTCAGAAGCAGAGTTCCGTCCTTCCCCATCAGCATGAAGCTCAACCCTTGCATCATCATCCTTCCCATGTAAAACCGCAGGAGAGCTAGAGGAATTCAACAGTGCAAGTTCTGTTGTGGAGTTAAACAATGCAGATTCTGTGGTGGATGCTCTAGTTAACTTTGCATCTAACTTTTCTTCGTTTTCAAATCCGTCTCCATATTGGTCTTGTTCTATCACCTTCTGGCCGTCATCACCTCCCTCATCATGATTTTGGTGTGCAACAATCGGAAGCGGATAACATTCTTCCTTGTGACCTTGACGCCAGTGAATAATTTGACACTTAGGAGAACTGAAACAGACATAATTTGATGTAAATACAATATTACTGAAAGACATAGTACATAATCAACCATATCATCAGAAAAATAATGCTAAACACAGCCATAATTGACTATTTTTGGCCCGTCACATCAGTAACACATCCTTAAAATACCCTAAGCAAAGTGACGGCGAAAAGCTAAATTATTCACCAAGTGGGAATCTTCGTTTCTTTCACGTAAAAAATACATTTTAACAATTCGTGAAAATACTAAGCTAGCAGACACAACTTTAACCCCTAAAATGTATGACCGTGAAAAAAGTAAAGAAAAAAGTACTAAACTGCAGGCGAAAAAGTGCACAAAGAAAAAGCCATCATGAAGAGGAATTGTGTTCTAATATCCAATCTTCGTAACATAAAGATAGGAGGCTCAGAAATGGAATCTAGAAACTAAAATACTTGCTCAAAATCAACAAATCTACCCATCAAAACATTGCAGCATTTAAGACCAACACCAAACTTAATGCTAGATTTTGATGTTGAGTTCATAATTAATTTTCACTAAGTCTTCTAAATTTGCTTCCTTTCTCACTGCAAAATAACAAACGTTTTACCCCCAATTATATGCCTACCGTACATGTATCCGGTCTTCTAAATTAAAGCAATCATCTAATAAAATATTCTTTCAATCGCATACTGTTTATTCATCTCAAATGCCGTTCAAAGTTCAAACTAATGACCTAAATGAAGAAAGAAATCTCAATAATTCTAAAAAAATTAGAAAAATAACCCAAAAATAACAAGTTAACCTACCAGTATCGAACGGCTTTACAGCGGGCGCAGCGAGTAGTAGTAGGACAATAACAAACAGCGCATTGGTGATAGTTCCAAGAAATGGAAACTGCACCGTATCCGACCGTGGCCTCAAGCTCCGCTCTAGCAGTCTCCTCCGAGGCCAAAATCAAAAGCCTCTGGATATCCGCTTGCCTGGCCACAGATAGCCTCCATTTCCACCTAACGAAAAAGCCGATCAATGGAAGAAAGAATGAGACCACAAGGACCAAGCTCGAAAACCCTAAACCCCCAACAAGAAGCATTTATCCTGCACCGGATACAAATAGGCATCCAACGGAGTCGCCAAATCCAAGCCCTCCTAATCTCACCAATGCACATAGATTCCAACGAGGTCGCCGCCTCGAACGCTCTCGCGATGGAACAAACTCCGGCCGTCGAATATGCAACCACAGCCGACCCCAAAAAAGATAGATGAACCGCTACGGAGATCTCCAAAAATGAAATAATTCGAGAATTTTATAAAAAGCCAAATAAAAATAAACAAATCCAAAAGGAACTGGCAGTGAGAGAAGAATGTTGGTATTGCTTGAGTTAGCCAAAAAGGTGAAAGCTTAAGCTTCTTCTTCAGCTCGGCAGATGATCAGAAATCAATTTCCCCCCTTTTTTTGGATCGGGATTTTAACAGAGAGAAGGAACAATAAAAGGAAAATTAATGGAGCATTAAAAAGGTATAATTTTATTAGAGAAAATTACTTAATATTTAGATGATATAAAATTTTAATTTATGTAAGTTTATTTATTTTCAATTTAAGTGTCTCGTATGAAATTAAAATATAAATTTTGTGGTTATAATTTCAATTTAAAGTATAATATTTCGAGTTATATAAAATTATGATTAAAAAAATTTTTCTGTTTAAAATAATCTCTAAAATAGATATTTTATTCGATTAAGTTATTAGAAAGGGAAATCTGGTAGGAAGGAATCTTGTCTTGGGGTATCGAGAAGCGTGAATTCTTTGGCCATCAAATATTCGGATCAAAGTGGGGGCCACGGGTTGAACCGGCTTAACTAAACTTCCCGGTTTTTTATTTGTTAGTGGAATTGAACTGCGGAGATCAGTTATTTGTTTGGTGGGAGCCGGAAGCTGATGACTCACCTTTTTCCTTCCATAACCCTTTGTTGAGTTTTCCACGACTGCAAATAAACCATTCTACAAGTCATTTGTTTTCTAATTTCATAAATTAAAAAAGAAAACTTTCATCTTGTAGTAAAAAAATTATACGGCGTTGGACGAGTGTTGATCAGCATTATTAATTTAATTTATGAAAATTATAAAATATTTAACGTATAATTATAAATTAATTAAAAATCTAAATATAAATTATTTGAAATAAAATATTAATTACATTATTTTGTTTATAATCTTATTTTAAATAATAAGTAGATCAAGTATTAACTCTTAAATTAAAAAATCTTAATTTTTTCTTGCTTTGACGGGCGGTAGAGACGATGGTAGTAGTAGTGACGGCAACGATGGTGGCAACAATGACAACAACTTCAAAGAATTTTTTTAAGGTTTTCTAATTTAGGGGTTAATATTTGATTTAATTATTATTTAAAATAAGATCATAAAAACTAATATAATTAATATTTTAATTTAAATAATTTACGTTTAGATTTTTTATTAATTTATAATTATAATTTGAGTACTTTATAATTTTAAAGTTTTATAAATTAAATTAATAGTGTTTATCGGTGCTCGTCAAGCGTGATAGAATCATCCATTGTATTATTTGTCCAAACACTATTTTTTATAATTTCAAATAAGTCATAATTATATAATGGAAGAGTCTGTCACACTTGACGAGCACCGTTGAGCACCACTAAAAATATGCACCTTGAGCGTCATTAATTTAATTTTTTAAAAATTTAAATTTTAAATGACTCAACGTATAATTATAAATTAGTTTAAATTTTAAAGATAAATTATATAAATAAAATATTAATTGCATTATTTTTCATAATTTTTTTAACAATAATTGGATCAAATATCAACCCTTAAATTTAAAAACCTTAAATATTTTTACTTGTTTAAATAATTACATTTATATTTTTAATTAATTTATAATTATATGTTGAGTACTTTAGAATCTTAAATTTTTATGAATTAAATTAATGATGTTCAATAATACATATAGTTAGTAATAATTAGCGGTGCTCATCAAACATTATAATTTTTTTTCCTAATATAATATATCATATAAATATAAAAATGTTAAAATTTATATAATATAAACTAATAAGATTTATTAAATTTGAATATTTTTACCATCTCTTTGTAGCACTGAGATTTGTTATTATTTTATTATTTAAGCCTTCTTTTGTAATGTATACGCAATTTGGGTTGGAAAATGACATTTCTGTGAAATGTTCAGAAAAGGAAATCACCAAATTTATTACTCAAGTTGACTGTCGGTTTGTTTATTAGTCAAATTAAGGGTTTTTCTAATCAACTTTTGACTTTTATCATAATTCTATAATGGACTAATTTTGTATTAGAATACTATGTTTCAAGAGGGTACTCACTTTTTATATAAAAGTTAATTTCATGGAAAAGTACTTAAATTATATTTTCTTAAATTAAAAATTATTTTAATCAAATATTTAAAATATCACTATTATATTAATTCAACACTTGAGTCATTAATTTGGATATTAAATATTAATTTCAATGTGACATGAGTTGAAGCATATCATTAGGAGTCGATGCGATAAGGTGCACCCTTGCATATAATCGATCCATATCATTAATTATAAAATGTGTTTACATATCATTTAAAAAGAACTATCTTTTTTAAGTACAATGCCATTGAAATATAAGGGAGTTAATGCGATAAGGTGCACCCTTGCATATAATCGACCCATATATTTTAAATATATCTTAATTTTAAATCTAGATTATAGCGACGGATAGTTATGCTATACGGCAACATTAATATACGGCTAAGGAAATGTCCTACCAGAAATATTAATATTTTTTAACATTTTCGATAAAGTACTACCTAAAACATTATTTTTCTTACCGGAAATGTTAATTTTGCTAACTAATTTCCAGTAGAACCCAATATTAACATTTCCGGTAAAACAAATAATGTTTTAGGTAGTGCTTTATCGGAAATGTTAAACATTTTAGATAGCGTCCAATATTAAAATTTATGTAGAAAAAACAATGTTTTAGGTAGTGTTTTACCAAAAATATTAAAAAAAATATTAACATTTCTAGTAGCACATTTCCTTAGCCTGAGACATCCCCGTATTCATTAGGAGTCAAAATCTTTTTAGATGTGTTAAATGTAATTTAATTTTATGAAAAGTTATAAATATTCTAAAACACTATTAGAAAATACTAAATAGTAATATATTCATCAAATGCATTGCAAAACTTATTACATTTAATACAATATTATCAATGATGTATTATTAATCATAAAAACTGCTTAAGATTTTTATTTCAAATGTATAAAATTATTTAAGTCACACCGACCTCTAGTGGAATTTCAGCTCAACAAAAGAACAAAAAGGAAATAGTTAGATTCCTTTCGATTATTAGTCCAAACATGGGGAAACAGTACTCGCTTTGAGGCTTCTGAGTACCAAATAAATGCTATAATAAAAATTGAAAACTATGTAAAATTATAATGAATATTATCTTCTTCTAAAATTATAGAGTTTATAGTACGAATAAGAGAGAAATTAAAGAGACGCAAATAACAATTCCAATGATAAATGATATTTTTTTGAATTGCTTTGTATATTATAAGGGTTACAGTTTGATTTGAATTCGATCCGACTCAAATTAATAAAAATATAAAACTAACGAATAAGTGAAAAGGTAAGAAAATCAATTTGATTGAAAGTAAGAATCTTATTTTCTTTAACATGAATTCATAGTAAAATATATACTTTTTAGTAAATTTATACTAAATAAATTTTCTTTTTAAACAAGTAATCATCTTTATAAAGATATACTAGAGATTAACGTTAGAAATTAAGTTACTTTCAATAAAATCTCTTGTATTATTCTTTGACTAGTGATTTTTTCTCTCTCTTATGTGCGTGGTTTTTCCTGAAAGTGTTTTTACGTTGAATTTTGGTGTTCTTTGTTTGCGGTTGTTTTTACATTTATTATTATAGTTCTTACACTATAACAAACTAGTATTAGAGCTTTTCGGGTTTGATCCAATCACAATAAATACATCAATGAGATATGAAAAATTTGTATCAGGATTGTAATACCAAATTCTCGTCATGGCATGTGAAATTTGGGATATTTTTGCACAGATAGATATGGACGAAGCATTATAAATGATCAATAAGATGTTATCCTTGACACTTGAGCGGAAACAACGTAAGGATACATAATTTATCTTAAATTTATCTATACTTATTAAATCAAATTTCACAAGATGTTTTGAAAGAAGAGACATTTTATTTCTAGTGGGTGAAGTTAGAGCAACTATGCATGAAGAAAACATTAACCAAAAAGTTGCATATGAATCAATGTCTCTACTCATATAAATTGACAGAAGATTTGCCACTTGAAGACCACTTAATTGCATTCAAGGAGATCATATATGACCTGGAGACCATAGATGTGAAATACAATCAATGAGATTTAAGATTGGTTCTTTTATGTTCACCGTCTTATACATTCGTGAAACACTTATTATTTAAAAAGTGTATGATAACATGCACTCGTATGAAAAGATTTAACATATTATAGTTAGATCAAAGTCCCAAGCAGATAGTCTTGTAGTGCATGGATCGATGGGTCCAAGTCAAAATCCTTCAACTAAGGTAAAACTTTTAATTTTTTTTATGAAACGTCACATTATATCAAAGTGTTGCGAGTTACAAAATAAAATCAAAAGATAAGATGTGGAGCAAAACTTTGAAGAATCTAGTAAGGCTGATGTAAAGGAAGAGTACAATGATGAACTCCTAGTTACAACAAAAAGTAACTCTAAAATAAACGAAGAATAGATCATCAACTCTAAGTGTACCTATCATAAGTGTCCTAATCAAAATTGTTTTACAACCTATTCAACTATTTGAACATATGTTATTTTCATGGGTAATAATATCTTATACAAATTTGTAAATATAAAAACAAAAATTGAAGATGTTCGATGATATCGTCAGAACTCTTAATGACGTACGATATATATCATATCTGAAGAAGAATCTAATGTTACTTAGTAATATGTATTCAAAATGGTATAAGCACTCCGTTGAAGATGGAGTTCTAAAGTTTGGTAAGGGTTTCTTCATCATGATGAAAAAGGAAAAGAAGATTGATATATTATATGTTCCCCGAGGTTCTATATTGATAAGTGATGCTTTAAATTGAGGATATGATTCCTTCCCCCAACTTAAGAAGATGTGATTTCAATATAATGATGACTCGTTCTTTCAATTTGAGGCA